GGTCACGTGCGCGGAGCTGGCTGGAGGGAGGTGGAGGGTAGTTGACGTGTTGCCCTGGCAACAGACAGCTCGGGCAACTGGCGCCCGGGCTCGCGCTGGTCCGTTAAGCTCCGTTACGCTCCGTTAAACTCGCCCCGGTGACCGCAGCGGCCACTGCGCCCAGGAGCCCTGAGGGTGCTGGGTGGCTCCATGCCAGGCGGTCTGAAGGGAGGGGGTGGGGAGCGTAGACAGCGCTGGGACCTCGGAGGCGAAAAGGGGAGAGTCTGGGGGGTTGGAGGGTCTCACATGGTTTCCGACCCTGGGCAGAAAGGCAAGGGTCGCGGACTCCGGCTGTGCCCACTGGGCGTGTGGAGTGGCAGCAACTGTGCAGAGAACCCGAGGGGAAGAAGGGGAGGGAGGCCCGGAAGGCAGGAAAGGGGGGTGGAGATGGGAGAGAGAGAGAGAGCGAGGAGGCCTCCCCACAGCCAAGCCATGGCCCATAAACCAGGTCACTGAGCAGACCGTGCCATCCCCTCCCCGTTTGGGAAACTTGTTTTTATGTACAAGATCGGCTAGGGAAGGCGAACAGGGCGGGAGGGAGGGGAAGGAGGGCATATAGAAGGAGCAAAAGCTCTTTGACCTGAATCCAGAGCCCAGCCCGGAGCGAGAAGGGGCTGGGGGTCTGCCCACGCCCTTGCTGGGGCCTCCCGCTCCCTCTTCACCTCTGGGGTCCTCACCTCCGGGGGAAGGAGGGGAGAGAGGGTCAGATGGAGGGGGCAGTGCAAGGAGGGAGTGCCAGTGGGAGGTGAGGGAGGGACACCTGGGTCTGGGGGGGCGGCCTGGGGAGAAGTGGACACTGGTTTTAAGAGCTGTCCCATGTCAGGCTGCCTGGGTGGGTGAGGTGTGGACCAAGTGCGAGACCGGGTGTGGAGGAGGCCCCTCTCCGCAATCCCAATGGGGAGACTTCACAGGGGACCCACTTCGTAGGGCTTGCCCACCACCCCCCTCCCGGGGCGGTCCTGCTCTGCTCACCCTTTGCCCCGGGGCGCCTGGGGTCTCGGTGGTCGTCGTCTCCCTGTGACGTAGGCGAATGGCCGTGTGCCTTTCGGGAACATGGCTGATGGGGAGGTCCTGGAGCTCCCCACATTTCCGGGCTCCATCCCCAGTGGGGGGCGTGCAGGATTCTCTCTCTTCATTGATGTTTCTCTCTCTCTCTCCCGTTCCTTTCAAAAAATAAAAAATAAATAAAGGGTATGGGGCCCTTGAATGCAAGGACGTGTGACCAGAAAGCCCGGTCCCTACAGCCTGGGGCATCACCGGGGCAAAGAAGGGGCTGGAGCCACGCTGTACAGGCCACAGCCTGCCGCCGCCCCATTTGCCAAGAGGGCCAGGGCAACTTCATTGGCAACCAGACCGGTTGCCGTCCTTTCTCCCTGGCCCTCTGAGTCTGAGCCCTGGGTCTGACACCTGGACCTCCCACTCACTAGCTGAGTGATCTCAGGCAAGTCCTTGCAGCATTCCTGTTTAAGTAAAACCATGAGAACCTGTGAATGAAACCGTAAAAAAATCCAGGCACGCCCCAGCCGGTGTGGGTCAGTGGACAGAGCATCAGCCTGCGGACCTAAGAGTCCTGGGTTCGATTCTGGTCAAGGACACGTACCTCGGTTGCAGTCTCCTCCCCGGCCTGGGGCCCTGGTCTGGGCACTGGCAGGAGGCATGTTTCTCTCACATCGATGTTTCGCTCTGTCTCTCCCTCTCTCTCCCACTCTCCCTAAAAAACTCAATGGAGCCCTAGCCAGTTTGGTTCAGTGGCTAGAGCATCGGCCTTCGAACTGAAAGGTCCCAGGTTTGATTCCAGTCAAGGGCACACTCCCGGGTTATGGGCTCGATCCCCAGTGGGGGCCGTGCAGGAGGCAGCCGATCAATGATTCTCATCATTGATGTTTCTATCTCTCTCTCCCTCTTCCTTCCTCTCTGAAATCAATAAACATATTTTTAAAAAATCAATGGAAAAATATCATCGGATGAGGATTAAACAAAATTAAAAAAACAAAACACTGGGCTGTACACCTGAAACTAATATAATAATGTATGTCAACCGTAATTTAAAAAAATAAAATATATGTTTTTTAAAGGCATTTCTGGCTCCAGAGGGAGGCGGCTGCAGGGGGGAGGAGCCCTGGCTGGGCATCTGTGAGGGACAGTTATTCTGTCACCAACTGGGATGGCCTTGGGACCAAGCCCTGCAGCGCGCCGGGCCGCCCCAGGTGCCTTGAACTCACCCTGGTGCTACCCTATCACCTTCGTCCTTCCCGGTGGTCTGTGTGTGAGAACAGCAGTCAGTGAGCTTAGGTCAGGAAGCTGCTGGGTTATATAAGCATGAAGCGGGGCGTTCAGTTCCAGAGAGCAGCAGCATGCATGGCCTAAGGACAGAGCGTGGGGAAGAGCAGGACCCCATTCACAGACGACGAGAGTCCGACCCAGGCCTCGGGCCGGAGGGCTCAGTGGTTGGAGCACCGGCCTGGGCACCAAAAGGTTGTAGGTTCGATTCCAGGTCAAGGGCACGTACCTCGTACCTCGGTTGAAGGTTAGATCCCCGGTTCAGGTTAGGGTGTGTGCAGAAGGCAACCAATCGATGTGTCTCACATCGATGTTTCTCTCTCTC